CCCTCAGCAACCAACCACCACGACCAGTCCAGGAGTGAATCCTAGCGTCCGCAGCCCGGCCTCCTCCTTATCATCTCATCACTGACTGTATGTTTTCCAGGACTGCCGCTCGACACCCAGTTCTGCTCCGTATTCCTTCACCTGGTTGTACACATATTTATCATCACTGTAAATAAATAGAGCACTTCTTGCACCGAAGTCAGCTACCTGGGTCCGTCATTTTTTACTCGCTCACCTTCCTACCAGAGCGTTCCTAACAATAACTGATGTTACAGCAGATGCATGAGGCAAGGGAGCTTCAGATGTTTAAATAGCTGAGCTGAAAGAATTATGAAATCACTCAAAGAGAAATGATGAAAGGATGCAGTGATTCAATACCAGACAAAATGTATCTGCACCAACAGACAGGAGGGCATTGTTGCTCACTCACTGATTGCAATATGAGCTCAAACAACAGTGAATAATAGTCAGATCTGCTGGAAAAGGCTGGCAGCAGAAGACTCTAGATGCAGGTATTGTTTATGTGCTATGGTCCTGTAGGCTGGACCAGCCCAGTTTTTAGGATTTATTTTAGTCTATTTTGGTTGATTCCACATCTCACAATTTACAGTATGTCCAATGCAAATGTTCAGGGACAACCAATAGGAGTGGTGACCCTGTCTCCCATGTTTATACTAAATATTACTGAATTTTCCCAGCTGGTGACCAATGTAATTGCTGCCTGCATTCAAAGGCAATATTATGTTGAATGAACAAAGAGAGGTGTGTGGTAGTTGGGGTGGATGGTGTTTTTCATTGGCCCTGCTGCTGCTTGTTATTTCTGTCCTGTCCTCAGCCAACCTGGTTGCCATTACATGCTGTCTGGTTCATTGCTGTGGGGCTAATGAAGCTTTATTATGTGGATTCTCCTGTGCTGCTTGTCATGCCGGAATTAACCACCATCCAGCGGTATTGTAGGAAACTGACTGCCAAATGGCTCTTTATCAGTGTTTAGGCTACAGTTGTCCTCTAGCATAGCGAGTGTTTGAAGAAAAAAAAGGAATTACTAAAAGAAATAAAGGAAAGACTGGTTGGCAATGGGTTGGTTGGAGCTTACCTTGAGTCAGTGTGAGGAGATGTCCTATGCACTGCCAGGCCAAAGATCATTTGCTGATTATTATGTTTTATTATATGTTTTTTTGAAAAAAGAAACAAATGTGAAGGTGGTCAGCTTAACTGTTCTCAGAATCAGACAAGCAAGTATAGTCTCTCTCTCTCTGCTCAATAGTAGTTCTACAGAGTCAGTCAAGCCTTAGTAAAAGCTGATTAGTTAATGCTATTAATACTGGTCACCTACTCATCCTAAGAAAGGTTTGTCAGAGCTGTCCAATATCAAGGTTCTTGTTTATTGATAGGATATCAAAATTTGTGCCAGTGCAGGAAAGAACTATCTTAAGGGCATGGAGGTTGGAATGGTGGATAGAGTTGATGCTCATCTGACTCATACAAATGTGCATTCTGTCACAGATTAAAGATTAGTGCTTGCTTTCTTTAACTATAACCGTGATCCACAGTTGCACACATGATCTTTTCTTAACCTCATAGTAAAAATGTAGAATTCTCATTTTGCTGTCTAAATCAGATGGAAATGTATGATGTACCTGAGTCAAATTCCTCATGTGTCCGTCACACCTGGCCAATAAAGCTGATTCTAAATTCTTCTAAAAAAATATTTCCTAAGGGAAAATTTTTCCCACCCAAATCAGCCAAATTCTGGACATGTTCTCTGCATATCTGTAAACCAGAGGCCAAGGAAATACTATAATTAATTTCATTATAGACCACAATTCGCTCCAATAAAAGGCTTTATTTATTCATTTTGTTGGGTTTGTTTGGCCTTAACTTGATAGTGAATGCTCTGCTGTGTAGAGTCATGAGATCTACTATATGTAGTACTTTCACATCACCCACAACCTCGCTCCACTCTTCTGATGCAGGTGCTGAAGGGATGCAAGAAGCTGGCAATGTCTGTGTGTTCTATGGGTCAGATCCCAGGAGGCTACATCACCAACCACGTGTACAGCTGGGTGGACCCTCAAGGCCGGAGCATCTCCCCACCCCCCTGCATCCAGGAGGCCAACCAGAGGAAAGGGCACAGCATGGAGGAGAGGACGGTAAGAACAATGAGGCTCATTCACCAACTGTTCTTAAGAACAAATGTGTTTCTAAAACCCACTTACAAAGTTTTCACAAACATTCCTGCATTCATCAGTGTTTTCTTATCTTGTCTTAGGTAAGAACAGAATCTACATACACTCAAGAGAACACTTACACACATTTGAGCGATGACGCATGTGTGAAATAACTGGTTATTTAGTTTTCTCCAGTTCTGCAGTTATATAATTGAAGTTATAATAATAGTTTTGTCATTATTAGCATTTCTTTAATATTTTTCCCATTAATTTACAAAGCATTGTAGTCTTTTAAAATAATTAAACAGTACACTAAAACAAGTAATTAATTGTTTTTTTGTTTTTTTTAAGATTTTAAACTTAATTTAACTTTTACAGTGCGATTACTTGTAGCTTAGAATTAGGAAACATTACTTAAAAACCATATCTTTAATGTCTTTATTTCTGATTTCTATTCATTTCTTCAAGTGTCTCTTGCATATTTTGGCCCATGTGTAAGTGTTTGGTTGTCCAGCACCACATCTGAGATCAGACTCAGCGCAGTTGAAGTGACCTGGGTGTACACATGCAGGTGCACATCCCAGAGAGCCGTGTATGGCCCTGATGTGCTGGTGCAGCTCAGATAACTCTGAGCCAGCCTGTCGTCCTCCGCTGGTCAGCGTCTCTCTTCTGTGTTTGTTTTGTTGCCTCAGATTTGAAATCAAACCATCTTTTTAATTCATCAGTTGTGGGACTTTTCTTATTCACTAAATGAGTAAGAGCATCCCATGCATCTTTTTTGTTTTATTTAAAGAGCCCGTGGCTGCTCATTTCCAGCTATTCAATGTTTAATTTTGGCTACCTCTAGATTAGCTTTGCACCCATCATAACTCCAAACTGTCTAATTTATTTCAGAATGATAAACCCAGAGAACCTCTCCCTAAAAACGAGAGGATAGTTTGTGAATGTGTACAACTCCTTGCCCGTGTTGTGTTGAAATACAATTTCCCTAACCTGAATCCTGACATTACCCTAACCACAACCACTGGGAGGGCGCTACATGAAACCGAGTTTTGAACAGAGGAAGCATCTCGACGGGGGAACAAAAAGCACTGACAAAATAAGTGTAGCCGAGCATTTACGTGGGCTCAACTAGACATGTGTATAAAATAATAAAACGACAAAGCTTCAGGTCTGAACTTCTCCGTTACTTTATTTGCACTGTTCACTCCAAAACTGACACTCCCATCTCTCTCTCCCCATGTCCCCTTTCTACCCAAGTATGGCAGGCCCCAAAGGACAAAAGGACATAAGGTATACTACACACATAAACAGAGCACCAGCACATTCACACCGGGGAGACATAACACTAAACAGTCTGTTGCATAAGCTACGTTTTTGACAGTGAAAATGCCTCAAATCTTACCTGACATGTTCAAGCCAGAGTATGAAAGTGGAAAGCACGACGAACCGCACCAGCATTAATTAAGTTGAATGTCTTGTCCATAGACAAGTAAACTGTTATGATTTAGTCCCCCTCACAAGGAGGGTGAGGGAGAACTGAGGCAGGACTCAAGACTGCTGACCCAGGTGCTAGTAAAACAGGTGGTTTTAATGATGGGAAACACGAAAGAAGGAACACAGTCAACGGACACATGCAACCAGGGCTGAGCAAATACGGCTAGGGAGAACAGGATGACCAGGGGAGTAAACAGGGTAACAGCAAAAACAGGAGACTGAGGATGAGGACGGACAGGTGAAAAAACAAACTACCCAGGAGGATTAGCTAACAAAAAAGGACTTCCACAGCACAGGAACTGTCAGCGTGGATACCAAAAAGAACGTCTAGCTAACATAATGGGACAAACATAAAGAGATCCACAGCACAGGAACTGTCAGCATGGACGTCTTAAGACGTATAACACAAAACATATAACCAACGTACAAAATGCGTTCCACAGCACAGGAACTGTCAGCGTGGAAAACAAAATGATGTACAATACATACCACAAACAAAGGTCTGTCAATGGGGTATGCACGTTACAGTAGTTAATGCTCCGGCGACGGCGGAGCGTCCGCAAGAGGTATAAATAAGGTAAGGAAATAAGTAAATCCAACCAGTGGTCGCTGCATCTTCTCCCACATGACCACATACAGTCCCAAAGTAGTGAAAGTAATTCCAACAGGTAGCAAAGCACCGACAATAACATTATGGATTATTAATCTGCTCATTAACCAGCAAAACATCACATGCAGCATACACACTGGCTTTAAGCAGTCAGCCCAAACATGTACTGTGCTCTGGGTGAATCCACCGCTGATGAGCTGATCACTAACCGTGGCGGTGACTTCAAGTCCCTGTACATGAAGATTCCTGGACATCCAGTAACCTCAGGCCCTGTATTTTTTCTCCACATCCTCTGGTCACAGTGCAGCAGCAGAAGGGAAAATATAGCCACAAAACTAGGTGCAGTGGAAAAATTCTGCTTTTAGAATGACACTGGTGGATGTCAGGCAAGTTCACATGAACATGCAACTGCCTGGAGATTATGACCATCCAATGAGATCCTTAAACTATAATGTAAAACTTTATATTGTTAGAAATAAGTTTCATAAGCAAGAGTTTTGCAAGACTTGTATAAACCGAGTTGCTTCTTCATAGAAGTACTAGAACATACGTACACCTCATTTCTTGAGCTGTACGTTACATCTAAGATGATAATTCACCATTGTAACATTGTAGATAAGTCAGAAAACAATGAAAAGCATGTCATGGGTGCTTTAATAGCCACTGCTGACACTATGAAATGTGGCTACTCAAATTTAAGAAAAAACTTGGGAAGATGTTGGTGAATAAGACCCAATGTGTGAATGTATGTTGTGGTGGTATTAAAAAATGTCCAGTGTATAATGTAGCTGCAGAAGATGAAATGTATTGTACACAAACATGAATAAAACATTGTGCAGTCTAGACTGTAAAAGAGTGTACTTTTCTCTGAAAGCAAAGATAATGTTGAACGTTTTTTGGAAATGCCATCTGTCAGATTGGTATCCAGGATGATAATTGTCCTCCCCCTCACATCTGGCATCAGTCAGTTTAGGACTGGAATATGGCTCTCTGAGGATGCTCGTCATGACCTTTTGGTGTTGTGACATTTGGAAGACAGACACAGGTCTGTGACTGGCTACTCCCCATGAGAAGATTTTTGCAAATTTTCATCATGATCATCTGGATCATCTGTTACTGGGCTCTTTGATCAGACAGATCACCATTCGCCTTTGGACAATGATCTTTTTGTTAAAAATAAAACATTTGCTGAAAATAACGTATCCTACAACAGAAGAAGCAAGCAAGCCAGCGAAACTTTATTTATATAGCGTTTTTCTAAACAAATGTTAGTAAAATAAAAATAAAATAAAATACACATTACATTCAATGCACAAGTCACAAAAACAGGAAATAGTAAAGAAATAAAAGATACACGTTAAGCAAGCTCACTCAGTCTACACTGGTTTGTAATGCCTATGTAAATAAATGTTTTAAAAATAAATGGAATGATGCCAGATTAGAAGCAGGCCTAATTTCAAAAGGTAGGCTATTCCTTAGCAAAAGCTTTATTTCTCCAGCACTTTAGTCTGGACTTAGGTACATCCAATAAAAACTGATTAGATGATCTAAGGGGTCTACACAGTATATACATACATATTATAAAAGCTCTTTTTTATACAGCAAAATCACACAATGCTTTAAAAACAAATAATATTCTTTTAAAATTATCCTTTGCTGGATTGGAGGTTAATGTATAGATGACAAAATAAGAGTTAGAGTATGAATGAATGGCTGAATGACACTTTATTACAGACTCAAGGTCCAAATTAAAACAGACAACAAAAGAACAATTAAAAAAAAACAATAAAATAAAATAAAACAAGAACAGGAGAACAGCCATAAACTACTATCCCTTTAAATGGCAGGCATACCAGTGTTTCCAGAAAGCAGAAGTAAAACACATGTCACTGTATGCAACATTAGTCAACAATAAAATGACATGATTTCCAGAACCATTCAAGTGACAGATAAATTTATACATCAAATTTTGTAAAACAGCGGGAAATGTACTAATTCGAAATGACACGAACAGTTAAGCAAAGGCAATTTTACTCCAATCAAGCATGAACCAAATTTCCGTGCCAGTATATTAGCTTGTACATACAACATACGGCACTGCCGATATATATCCTCATCATCATTCAGCATTATACTCGACATCGTGACGTTCCCCAAACACTGAGCACACGTTCAAGAGCTGCTGAAGACCTGCTGAGCTGGGACTAAAAATCACAAGGTCATCTGCATACATTAAATATTTCACAACTTTGTGACTGCACATATTTAAGTCTTTAGACATATCGTAAAAATTAAACAAGATTGGGGAAAGCAGACTACCTTGTCTTACACCATTACCGGTCTGAAAGGGTGCAGATATACAATTATCCCATCTAACAAACATAGTCTGGTGGGAACAGTCTGGTTGGCATACCAATATGACAAGCATCTCACTATTTATTTAGGCACTTGGGAATCACACAGTTTCTGGAATAATTTCCTATGATTCACTCGGTCATAAGCTTTGGAGGCATCTAAAAAGCACATGAACACAGTAGAGTTTTTACTTTTATATTTGCTGACTAATTCCTTTAGCGCAACTATACACATATCAGTGCCATGGTTAGTTTTAAACCCATATTGGTTTGCAGTGGAGCTAATAAGATTGTGATACCTACTTAAGAGAAGTTCTTCAGCAACTTTTGAAAGAATATTAGAGTGCAATAGGTCTATAATTATCCGAGCTGCCCACCTTCCCTGCTTTATCCTTCACCATAGGAACCAACAGTACTGACATCATAGAGTCAGGCAGAAACCCATGCATAACAGAGGCAGTAAAGCAATTAGCTAGAAGAGGGGACAACCTGAGACTAGTGTACTTAAGATGTTCAACAGA